AAGTTTCTGTTTGCAGTATCAATTTTAAAAGAAAATATTCCTTTGGATCTTTGACAGTTTTCAGCGATGTACAAGACTCGAAAAATTGTGCAGACAACTATAACAACTTCAACAGAATTTAGGTGAAAGCCTTCCGTTTTCTGGAAAAAAAAAGAGTATTTTATTAAAGAGCAAATTTGCCTATCTCTCTAAATTTTAAATACCAGTGCACATCTTCGAGAAACTTTTAAAATATGTAGCAGTCGAAGAACGCAAATCTTATTTCCCGCCCCCTTTATGTTGGCTTTCGAATACAGATAATAACTTAGCAATTTCTTAATGAAAAAAAAAACTGATTACCTGAAATGAATATTTTTCTAAGCAGAATGTTTCCAGTCATTATATATTTAGGCAAATTGTTTAATAAAAAGTGTCACCTTATTTAAATAAATGACTGGATACAGAACTAGCAAAATAGTGTCACAATGAATTGTACTTTTACAAAGATTTTTAAGAGCAAATAAATAAACTAATTATACAAAGTAGAAGCATTTTAAAAGAGCTGAAAATCTCTGATAGATATGCATAAGAAGGCAAATTAATATTTGACAGATATTTAAGCCACTTTGCATACGAAAGCAAATCACATGTAATTCAAAGCTTTATAAGAATTTAGGAAATTCGCCACTTCATGCTTGGCTTCCTAAAGAAAATTGGTTTGTATTCACAATGCATACAGAAATCACGAAACCTCTAGGTGGCAAGTCTACACGTAAGTTTATTTTCTTAGTTCAATACGGCAAAACGTGAAAGTATTAATTGCCCAACGGAAGGATTGCCTCGTGAACGTCATGTAAAGGAAATTGGTTTGGATTTATGTTATAATTAGAAAAGAGCAGCTAGCGCTACAGTGGAATTTGATTCCGACTCGAACTACCAGTATTCAGTACTGACTATGATAGGAAAGATGTCTCCACTTGTCGGGAGTTATGACAAAAGGACTGGTTGTCTGCTCATAATATAGTTAATGGGTTTCATACCATAGTATAATTAGAATTTTGTTCCCTTTTATAGCTTAGTTATTAAAAATCTTCAATTCGACAAGACTAGAACCGGTATGGGATAAGTAGGGATGCTAGGGACTAGTTGTAACAATTTTTTGGAAACTTTGTTATATTTTTAAATGTATTTATGAATCCCTGATTAAAAGTTCTGTTTCTTATTGCATAACTATTCATTCGTCATATGCATCATCGTCATGCTCAATGGATTCAAGATGGAATGAAGGCGTATATTTGTTTACTCACAAGTCCAGATGCAGTTTGAATCATGACTCTAGACATGTTTGGATGTGGAGAGAGCGAGAAACACGCAACTTGCTTTCCCTTGTTCATGAAAATTCTCTTTCCATGGATCATATTTCTTGATTTGGAATGAAATCATTAAACATAACTGAAGCGATACTATCTTTGATAGACATTCTTTAATCATTCACAGATATGTGGACGAATTCTTAGAACCATATGTGAAGATGTGTGTTGCTGGTTCACAGGTTTTGCTAATGGATGACTCTGTTCGTCCGCATTGAACATCTTTATTAACAGAATACTTGGATCGTCATAATAATTTGGCCAGCTTATTCACCAGATATAACCCTGACTGGGCATGTATGGGATGTTTTAGGCTACAGACCTGCAGCAGGACAAATGCTTTCCCAGTTTCCCTAGATTTAAAACATGCGCTTTTAACTGAGTAGCGTGCAATTCCAAAAACAAAATACGACCAATAATTTTGTGACTTTTAGGAAATAAATTTGGAAAGTTTGCATTTCTATCAGAGGTGACCATACGCCATATTAAAGAAAAATTTATTATAAAAACTAGAATGTAATTTTCCTTAAGTTTAACTTTATAAATTCAGTATTTTGAGATTAATCATGGCAAAGATGGCAATTTTGATAGCATGACAAACATCGTAATTTATGTAAACTAATTCTTTGCGTACAAACTGTTTCTAATTAATTTTCAAAAGTAACCGCTAATTTTTATTTTTGTCAATATCCTTTAATTTTGATGAATTGCATAAATGAACTAAATATCAAATCTTGTTGATGTAAATAATCCCAAATTTACAATTAAGGAATACAAAATTCGGGAAACAAATAGATGTTTTTGTAATTTACTTGATTACTTTTTAAGTAAGTTTAGTTACATTGTCGCTTCATTATTCTGCTGATCTCTTCAACATATCCACTTAAAATTTTACATTTAATAGTATGCTCAATTCTGTTTCTCGTTCTTCCTCTTTCGCTTATTCTTTACTTGCAAAACTCCACATCTCCTAATTAACCAGTATTTTTAAACAATGATTAAACTGTAGAAAATGCTTAAAGTTACGTCTAGGAAAAGCTTTTATGCAACTGAAAACGAAGAGCAAATGAAATCTCAGTAGCTTTAACCTGATTCGAATTTTAACAGATACAGCGAAAGGAAATTATTAAAAATCTTCTTCACCTTCTATCTTCGAAATACTACTATTCGAGTAAGTATACAGAAGACGGATTCTGGAGTTCAGAAAAGCATAAATATCTAACAAAGTCTCAGATACTTAAGCACGATTCTCCCACAACAGATAAAGCGGATATGAATTCAATAGACGGGTAATTACGGGTGAGAAAAAATGAGCTTATTAAAAAAATTAAGAAAACTAAAAATAAAAATGAAGGCTGTTTATTCCCCCACATTTGTTGACCTTTAGTTGCCAATTAAGTTATGGTGAACCAGCATTGTGGTAGGGGATAAAAGGATAGAACAAGGTTTTATGAAATTCGATTTTTCAAAAAATGTCCAATAAACAATAATTTTCCTACAACTGTTGACAGAAGAAATAACTGTGATGCATTTTGGCCCTCCCCGGGCAACGAGACTCCTTTTCTTTCACAGCTATTTCTATTAAAATACGTTCGAATCAGATTGTGGGCTATAATGGAATGAGGCATAGTAGGATATACCTGAATTTAATTTTATGGAGTAATGCGAGATTTAGCCTTTATTTAAATTTTGATGAGGAGTGAGAACACAGAATTCTTACAGTGATCACTGTGGCAGCATCGATTCTTGTATCGTTATCGCGCTGCCACGTGCGTCGAAGTGTATAAAAACTGGAAGGACTGGTTTGTCTTCCTCTTTCCCTTTTGCTGCCTGACGTCGTGTTAACGAGTGTGTGGGCCTTCTGGCCACACTCACTCAGCAGTCGCCATCGTTCCTGCATATTCTCACGTGGAGTGTCGTCGTATTATGCATAGAAAGAAGCAGAATTAAGACATATACTATCCAGAGGAAAATGCTTGGTTTGAGACTCACTACTATGTCCTGCTGCCTTGAATAACATAAAAAAAACGCTCAAGCATAATATCAATAGATGTTCGACTTCAAGATGTGCTTGACCAGCGATGTGTCACCACGTGATGATAAGTGTGTAAAAAAATTGTGAATGTGAAAAAAGAAGAGCTTGCACGTATTTAAGAAGACTGCGCGACAATACGAAAATGTATAGGAGGAAATTTCGACTGCATATAATTTTGATGAGACAGGATTGCAGTTTATCTACGAGTCGTCTCGTTTCGATATCCATCGAATATTCCATTTTAAGTTAACACGTTTTGGGTATCTAAGTTCTGATATTTTGATATTTTATATGTGTGTGATAAATGTTCCTTATTTAATCCAGAAATGTGTTTTGATAAAATAAATGTGAGATTGGAAAAAGAGAGTATTCGACTCATGCATGCATTATTGGGTAAGTCATTTTATTCTATTTAGTAAAAATCATGCAATGTACTAACCACTAAATTTTAGTTTGACTATTTACGCGGAATTAATTTGTATTTGATATTCTTAGTATCGTCACTTTTGGCGGTCACGCCAACAACACCACATTAATGGTGCAGTAACACAACATTTAATGGTGCCGTGACAAGAAAAAAAAAATGAATTTAAGTTTTAACTTTTGGTCCTGTTTGATTTCAGGTAGAGAACCATGTTATGCAGATGCCTAAAAATGTAGCTACACATGTAATTCGAGTATGAATATTATTGATAATTGCTTAAATATTTTGAATTTTGTGATTATGTCTGATATCAAATAGGTGAATATTATTGATGATTGGATAAAATTTTAAATTTTGTGATTATCTGATATGAATCCTTAAGAAAGATAAAGTTGAAAATTGCATATGTATAAAAAAATAGAATTCTATATGACTATGTTTTTCTGCTAATGTTAAATAATTTAATGATAAAAAAATAGATATGTGAAAATGGTAATAGCAATTCAAAATTGGTCGATATTTAAGAAAGTATTCCTGTATGTATATCATATTGTGTGATAATGAGTATGTAATAACTTGTATCCATGTGAAAAATTTCGATAAAAAGTACAATAGTGTATTTTTGAATTTTCTATGTATTAGGAGTAATAATAATAGTAATTTATAGTGGAACTAAAGGATAGGAAATTAATTTAGAATGGTCACAAAAAAGTACTGATGTTTAAACTGTATTGTAATAACGCTAAACATTCTGTAACTCAATTTTCACCAGCAGAACTATTTTTTGGTAGAACATTAAATACTCCCATAGATAGCAATGTTCCTATTAAATTAGCAGAATATTTCCAGGAATATTCCAGAAGACTAAAGGAACAATCGAGTAAAGATAAGCAACAAGTAAAAGTAAATGAGGATGAATACTTTAATTGTGCAAAATAATATTTGAAAGGGACAAAAATTCCAGAATTGAAATCAGGGGATAAAGTTTTTATGCAGGAATTTACTGATAGAAGGGTGTTACATCCAAAATACAAGGACCATATGAGATCATAAAAAGCTACGAAATGATAATTATATAATACAATTAGATAATAAAACCACTAAAGTTCATGTAAGTAAATTGTTTTTACAAAAGCCTTCAAGAATAGATTTAACACAAAATGAGGATTAGGAGTGTAACACAATTGTAAATTGTAGATCAGCAAATCCAAAAAAAAAAAAAAAAAAAAAAAAAAAAAAAAAAAAAAAAATGTGTAAAGAAGTTGTGGTTATGATAAGAATGTAGCATGTGTACAAGCTAGATAATGAATGATGATCATGTGTGGTATGGGTCAATTTAGTGTAATAAAGCGCTAATTGCACGATTTTGGTAGAGTTGGCTGGTCCATGTACCAGAAGAATTGAATTGTACTATGCAGGGTCTCGTTGATTACGAGGTAGCAGAGTAAAAAAAGAAAGAAAGAGTGTGGTTCAAATCTCCTTGTCTTACTGCTGAATCAAATTGAAGGTATGTAATTTAGTAGTGGATCTAATACAAATGTAGCTTGTAACAATGTCGTGACATATTGGTATATGAAATGTATAAATGTATATATGTAAATGAATATGATCAAATGATAAAAGTAGCTAAGTAATGAAATAGTGAATGTGATTCTAAAATGTAAAGAATGAGATAATGTAAACAAAGGTAAACAAAGTTTAAGATGAGTAACATCAAATTGATAATGCAATATCATTAGTAGTTGATAAATTGATTTTTATAACATGTGAGTTATAAATTATATATGTCAAAATTTCTTTTATGGAATCGCATCTGTAGTGATATTTTAGGTAAGAGTAGACATGCATGAGTACGTAAAAGAATAATACTAATTTAAGAATGTCAAAAATGTGTATCACAAAATGTTTAAAGTGCTGTGTATTTTTCAAGCAATGTCAAATATTAATGTGAAATATGTGTGTATAGTGCATACGAAAGCTCAACTGTGTTCAAGTAATGTGAAATGTATATATAGTGCCAACGAAATGATAAAGTGCAGTGATTTTGCAAGTGATGTAAAGATTGGTGTGAAATGTGTATGTAATGCAGACGAAAGTTCAAGTGTGTCCAGCAGAGAGGGATTTCATTTGTCCAGTGATGGGACAATTTTTTTCTACGGCCGGAGGGAATGTGAGAACACAGAATTCTCACAGTGATCACTGTGGCAGCATCGATTCTTGTATCGTTATCGCGCGCTGCCACGTGCGTCGAAGTGTATAAAAACTGGAAGGACTGGTTTGTCTTCCTCTTTCCCTTTTCTTGCTGCCTGACGTCGTATTAACGAGTGTGTGGGCCTTTCTGGCCACATACACTCAGCAGTCGCCATCGTTCCTGCATATTCTCACGTGGAGTGTCGTCGTATTATGCATAGAAAGAAGCAGAATTAAGAGATATACTATCCAGAGGAAAATGCTTGGTTTGAGACTCACTACTATGTCCTGCTGCCTTGAATAACATAAAAAAAAACGCTCAAGCATAATATCAATAGATGTTCGACTTCAAGATGTGCTTGACCAGCGATGTGTCACCACGTGATGATAAGTGTGTAAAAAAATTGTGAATGTGAAAAAAGAAGAGCTTGCACGTATTTAAGAAGACTGCGCGACAATACGAAAATGTATAGGAGGAAATTTCGACTGCATATAATTTTGATGAGACAGGATTGCAGTTTATCTACGAGTCGTCTCGTTTCGATATCCATCGAATATTCCATTTAAGTTAACACGTTTTGGGTATCTAAGTTCTGATATTTTGATATTTTATATGTGTGTGATAAATGTTCCTTATTTAATCCAGAAAATGTGTTTGATAAAATAAATGTGAGATTGGAAAAAGAGAGTATTCGACTCATGCATGCATTATTGGGTAAGTCATTTTATTCTATTTAGTAAAAATCATGCAATGTACTAACCACTAAATTTTAGTTTGACTATTTACGCGGAATTAATTTGTATTTGATATTCTTAGTATCGTCACTTTTGGCGGTCACGCCAACAACACCACATTAATGGTGCAGTAACACAACATTTAATGGTGCCGTGACAAGAAAAAAAAAATGAATTTAAGTTTTAACTTTTGGTCCTGTTTGATTTCAGGTAGAGAACCATGTTATGCAGATGCCTAAAAATGTAGCTACACATGTAATTCCAGTATGAATATTATTGATAATTGCTTAAATATTTTGAATTTTGTGATTATGTCTGATATCAAATAGGTGAATATTATTGATGATTGGATAAAATTTTAAATTTTGTGATTATCTGATATGAATCCTTAAGAAAGATAAAGTTGAAAATTGCATATGTATAAAAAAATAGAATTCTATATGACTATGTTTTCTGCTAATGTTAAATAATTTAATGATAAAAAATAGATATGTGAAAATGGTAATAGCAATTCAAAATTGGTCGATATTTAAGAAAGTATTCCTGTATGTATATCATATTGTGTGATAATGAGTATGTAATAACTTGTATCCATGTGAAAAATTTCGATAAAAAGTACAATAGTGTATTTTTGAATTTTCTATGTATTAGGAGTAATAATAATAGTAATTTATAGTGGAACTAAAGGATAGGAAATTAATTTAGAATGGTCACAAAAAGTACTGATGTTTAAACTGTATTGTAATAACGCTAAACATTCTGTAACTCAATTTTCACCAGCAGAACTATTTTTTGGTAGAACATTAAATACTCCCATAGATAGCAATGTTCCTATTAAATTAGCAGAATATTTCCAGGAATATTCCAGAAGACTAAAGGAACAATCGAGTAAAGATAAGCAACAAGTAAAAGTAAATGAGGATGAATACTTTAATTGTGCAAAATAATATTTGAAAGGGACAAAAATTCCAGAATTGAAATCAGGGGATAAAGTTTTTATGCAGGAATTTACTGATAGAAGGGTGTTACACATCCAAAATACAAGGACCATATGAGATCATAAAAAGCTACGAAATGATAATTATATAATACAATTAGATAATAAAACCACTAAAGTTCATGTAAGTAAATTGTTTTTACAAAAGCCTTCAAGAATAGATTTAACACAAAATGAGGATTAGGAGTGTAACACAATTGTAAATTGTAGATCAGCAAATCAAAAAAAAAAAAAAAAAAAAAAAAAAAAAAAAAAAAAAAAAAAGTGTAAAGAAGTTGTGGTTATGATAAGAATGTAGCATGTGTACAAGCTAGATAATGAATGATGATCATGTGTGGTATGGGTCAATTTAGTGTAATAAAGCGCTAATTGCACGATTTTGGTAGAGTTGGCTGGTCCATATACCAGAAGAATTGAATTGTACTATGCGGGGTCTCGTTGATTACTAGGTAGCAGATTAAAAAAGAAAGAAAGAGTGTGGTTCAAATCTCCTTGTCTTACTGCTGAATCAAATTGAAGGTATGTAATTTAGTAGTGGATCTAATACAAATGTAGCTTGTAACAATGTCATGACATATTGGTATATGAAATGTATATGTGAAATGAATATGATCAAATGATAAAAGTAGCTAAGTAATGAAATAGTGAATGTGATTCTAAAATGTAAAGAATGAGATAATGTAAACAAAGGTAAACAAAGTTTAAGATGAGTAACATCAAATTGATAATGCAATATCATTAGTAGTTGATAAATTGATTTTTATAACATGTGAGTTATAAATTATATATATGTCAAAATTTCTTTTATGGAATCGCATCTGTAGTGATATTTTAGGTAAGAGTAGACATGCATGAGTACGTAAAAGAATAATACTAATTTAAGAATGTCAAAAAAATGTGTATCACAAAATGTTTAAAGTGCTGTGTATTTTTCAAGCAATGTCAAATATTAATGTGAAATATGTGTGTATAGTGCATACGAAAGCTCAACTGTGTTCAAGTAATGTGAAATGTGTATATAGTGCCAACGAAATGATAAAGTGCAGTGATTTTGCAAGTGATGTAAAGATTGGTGTGAAATGTGTATGTAATGCAGACGAAAGTTCAAGTGTGTGCAGCAGAGAGGGATTTCATTTGTCCAGTGATGGGACAATTTTTTTCTACGGCCGGAGGGAATGTGAGAACACAGAATTCTCACAGTGATCACTGTGGCAGCATCGATTCTTGTATCGTTATCGCGCTGCCACGTGCGTCGAAGTGTATAAAAACTGGAAGGACTGATTTGTCTTCCTCTTTCCCTTTTGCTGCCTGACGTCGTATTAACGAGTGTGTGGGCCTTCTGGCCACATACACTCAGCAGTCGCCATCGTTCCTGCATATTCTCACGTGGAGTGTCGTCGTATTATGCATAGAAAGAAGCAGAATTAAGAGATATACTATCCAGAGGAAAATGCTTGGTTGAGACTCACTACTATGTCCTGCTGCCTTGAATAACATAAAAAAAAACGCTCAAGCATAATATCAATAGATGTTCGACTTCAAGATGTGCTTGACCAGCGATGTGTCACCACGTGATGATAAGTGTGTAAAAAAATTGTGAATGTGAAAAAAGAAGAGCTTGCACGTATTTAAGAAGACTGCGCGACAATACGAAAATGTATAGGAGGAAATTTCGACTGCATATAATTTTGATGAGACAGGATTGCAGTTTATCTACGAGTCGTCTCGTTTCGATATCCATCGAACATTCCATTTTAAGTTAACACGTTTTGGGTATCTAAGTTCTGATATTTTGATATTTTATATGTGTGTGATAAATGTTCCTTATTTAATCCAGAAAATATGTTTGATAAAATAAATGTGAGATTGGAAAAAGAGAGTATTCGACTCATGCATGCATTATTGGGTAAGTCATTTTATTCTATTTAGTAAAAATCATGCAATGTACTAACCACTAAATTTTAGTTTGACTATTTACGCGGAATTAATTTGTATTTGATATTCTTAGTATCGTCACTTTTGGCGGTCACGCCAACAACACCATATTAATGGTGCAGTAACACAACATGAGGTTAATGGAATTTTCTGAAAACAGCTGCATATCTAAAGAAATAGATATACACTTCTGGGCATCAAAAATGTAACACGAAGAAGTTGCCAAAACCAAATTTATCATACCCAAATTTATTTCAGACATTACACATAGTATCAATGTTAATTGATTTAAAATACGACCTTCTTTGTGGTGAGGAAGACATTAAAATCAGTAATGAGACTTATCTCTACTTTTGTCAATAACCACTGCTACACGTCGCGTCATTGAGTGAAAAAGGCTTTGGATGTGTTGTTGAGAAATGTCAGCCCATGTTGCCTCTGACGTAGCCAAAGTTCACCTGGTGTACCTACGGATGCAGTATGCCAGGATCGAAATTCTCCAACCGTGGACCAGATATGTTCGATGGGTGATGCACCTGAAGAACGGGCAGAGCAGGATAGCAAAGAATATGGCGGACTAAGAAGAAAGCTTGAACACTGCGTGCAACGTGTGTTTGCGCATTGACCTTTTGAAATGTGGCAGCAGGCAAGCTCTGAAGGTAAAGAAAGAGAACAGATTATGAAACCTCAGAAGTGTAACGTTCGCTAGTATGTGAACCGATTATGTGTACTAAATTTACAGGAGTGGAGTCCACTACCACCCCACACCTTAATACCGGGTGCAGGACCACTGTGAAGATACATAACAAAACAGTCGAGCAACCTCTTTCCACGGTGTCACCAAATTCTAATCCGATCATTGTAGTACTATGGACAGAAGCATGACCATCAAAGCACAGAATGTCATGCCATTCGAATGGCCATCTCCGTCGCTCTGTGCTCCATTGCTAATGCAAACGCCTGTGGTTTAAAGCTAAAGGTAAACGAAGCAATGGCCGCTTAGCGGACAGTCCATTGTATTGTAAACGACATCGAATGGTTTGTGCAGACATCGATTGCGGTGTTGCAGACTGTATTCGTTGTGATATGGTTGTGGAGGTGGCAGTGTTGTCCATCAATACTATGCACAAAATATGCATGTCTTTCCTTGGAGTAGTGCGACGAGACGTTGCAATTGGTCTTATCCTTCAGTCTTTCTCTCCTGAATCCATTGATTTCATATTGCATGACTGTCGCACGGCTACGTACGGCACGATGACCGATTTCCCGGAAGGATAATTCGCAATCTTAGTATGCCTACATACGATTCTGCCTGGGTCGAGCTCAGAAACATGCACAAAACATGCTCCTGCTTTTCTACGAGGCATACTACTGAAGCTGCTCACACAAAAAATGTTGCTTTGAATTTGCTGCTTTTATGTTATTGGTGAAATTTTCTTCTTCTCATTTGCAGTATGTTTCAATAAGAAACTTCTCAATTTTGCTGTAATATGTGACACTCTGAAACTATGTAGATTCTAATAAATGTTTTGATATGGTCTGGGAGGCCTCACTACGACATTCAAAAGTGCTAGAGGCGTAACTAGAAACATTAGTGCTTATTCGGAAGCTTCAGAAAAATTGTGGCATAGCAAGACCTAGCTTTCAATCTAACTAAAACTTAATCTGGAAAGCTTTATTTCTAATGATTATGACTACGTTTTACCGATGGAAGCAGGGCTCCTAATACCTTGAAGCCATTTCCTGACTTATATCAATTTTAACGGACAAGTAAAAATGTGGAAGATATTATCTCAAGCTGATAGTTTAAATATTTTAATAAAATAGATGAAAGTAAATAAATAAATAATTTTATTCTGAGAATTATATCTGGCGTGTCTGGATGGTTTTGATAACATACCTCAAAACAGAGCAGAAAATCTATTCAAACATATGGAGTGTTATTTGTTCATTTGTTACAAAAAAAGAAATCGATTTGTTTATGCTGAGTGTGCCAGAAATCTAAATGCAGCCTAAAGTCTCCCAAGAATGCAAACATTTAATCTGCTATCCTAAAGTACTGCAATTTTGAGCTCTTTTTATAATTTCTTCAATCCATAATTTCAGTACGTGTTACGGAAGTTTTTGAAAGTATCGCGAACATTCTTCTATCTTGTGCCTATAACGTTAACGGACTTTTAGTTTCGATTCTGAATTGTATCTGCGTAGAGTTTTTGAGTGTGTAATATATTTTATAAAACGCTTTAAAATGTGCTTGTAATTTTATGCTGTATCAAATGTTTTCAAAATATTACATCACTGTTGTGAATTCTGATTCAACGTTATCAAGAAGAGGAAGAACAGATTCAATTGAATCCTCCTAGGAAGACCGCTGTGTTTCTGTTCATCCAAAATTAGCTGATGAACCATTCTGAATTATTTAATTACAATAATTCATCCGAAAATTCCGAATGCCTCCTCTAAACAGTCTCCCTTTACTCGTATAAAATAAAAATACACGGAAAAGGATTTAAATGAAATAAATTCAACTCCTATTAAATCAAAAGTAAGATGTATACTATTTGCTAATACTAAAATTCAAATTGAAGCAAAAAATTACAAAATATATTCATAATTAACGATAGAAATATTTACAAATTAATGAAAGTTTGAACTTACTATAAGTAGAACAAAGGAACTAAAGACAGTAATTCAAAAGGGAAAGAATAACGCTAATGTTCACCTGTTTGGCGATACAAACGGGCGATGGAAACTTAGAAATCTCCCAAAAGGTGAACTTACAGCGAGATATTGTTTAATTTTAAATATGGAAATCATTAAACAATGCAAGTCAAAAAAGGCAGAAAAGAAACAAATGTTAGAAAAAAAAGAAAATTTTCATGCCATGGGCTTATCATGATGACTTAGAATAAAGTATGCCTCAGTTAATAAAAATATAGTCAAGAAAAATCATATAGTAATTACATATTTACTATAAATCCTTCTTTATCGTTTTCTTATTTGAGCTTTCAGATAAAAAATACATGACGTTAAAAATGTATAGTGTGTTGGCCGCTCTAGCTTTCTTAAGTAGAATGTTAATGAAGAAGTTAATTGGAATTACATTTTCTTGTAAAATTTTAGTAAGAATTACAATTTCTTTTTATTGCAGTTCCTTACCTCAGTGCAGACATTTTTAATTCTGTTAGTTTGGTTAAAAATTGTATTTGCAATAACTTTTATAGAGATGTTGGTATTTCAGTTTAAAAGTTTCATTGTTGAAAAACTGGATTCCTTTCTTTTAACAAAAAGTCTTACTTTTTTAAGATTACAAATGCTAAGATCCAGTTAATTTACAATTAAATGATTCTTATTCGTCTTGTTGAGTTTTAAACAGTTTGGGTAGATGTTGCTTATTTCAATAATATTTATACTGATGAATGTAAGAATATCATCTATATCTGAATGTATGCGCAAATTTATTGAAATCATCTTCTGGAAGGCTTGTACTCTTGGAAGGCTTGTAAACAACTTGTACTCTTTAG